GCCCCTGTCTTTGCCCCTCTCCCCTCCCCATCTTCTTTTCCCCTTCTTCCCCCATCCCTTCCACTGGCTCCTATGCCCTTGTCCCTCCACCCCCTTTCCTCACCTCTCTGCATTGGAGACAGGCTGCTTCTCCTTCTCATCCTCACAGCCTGGGTGCCAGCAGAAGGACCACTGAGAGCACAGAAGAGGCAAGCTCCCTGCTCTCAGTTCTGCTTCCGGACATCACTTCAGCCCCTGGCGGACAGAAGGAGCAATTGCAGGAAAAGCTCTCAGTCCCTGCGGGGCCGGGTTGGAGGCAACATACCCATTTGCTCTGTGGGGATGGTGCATGCACAGTCTGGTCAGTGCTAGGAGTTGTGAGATGCTTGAACCTGCTCAGTGAGGACAGACTTCAGAAATTTTACCTGCCAAACTCTAAGAAGTCTCTACAAATTTAGGCAGATTTTGGCAAAAGGCACATCCCTGACACTAGAGCAACCCCTTGCCAAATTTAAAGTTGCTACTCCGTAGCACAGAGGTTCTAGAGGGTCTCTATGAAACAGTTATGATTTTCTTTTACATACAAAACAACATATTTTCCTCTAACCTCATTCTTGGAAATGTCAGAATTGCTTTAACTGTAACTTTTATATATACCTGAGTCAGACACCAGACATGGAAAATTTCAGTCTAAATGGTTATAAGCCGCTAATGGGAATTGTCAGGCAATCTTAACTATAGGCCTTGCTATCTGTGCTGCAGATAGTATCTGAAGCTAAATTTGGTTCAGAACATAATCAACCATATGCTCAGCAACACACGCCTTTGAGGGCCCATCCGCTCAATTCTCTGTTTTCTTCACTGGCTCCCCAGGAAAATCCAGGTCGAATTCAAGATTTTGATCTCCAACTTTAATGCCTCACACGGGAGTGGGCCAAGTTACCCGAGGGACAGGCTGTTCACTCTCCATAGTTATGGTATGATACGATGGCTACTCTCCTCTGGAGCAATGAAACTGCCAGCTTCCAGTGTAAGATGTGGGCTGGAAACAGAGCAACCGCCCCTGAATCTGGAACTCCCTCCTGGAAGAGATCAATTTGATTACAAACAACAGCACTTTCAGAGCAGACTACAAAATCCATTTCTTCATCCTTACTTTCCCACAATAACGCCACCCAAAAATAAATACCCAGCCTGTGACAACTGGAAGAAAAAGGATACATGTTATATGTTCACGTCAGAATTTTGGGTGGTGCTCAGATACCGCCAAATAAGACCCTAGATATACAGCTATGTCCTATTGGCTTTTGCTCTCTGAAACAGTGAGGATTTCACTTGTACTTGGATCCATTTCATAATAATAAAAATACACAATGAAATCTTAAGTATTTATATGCAAGAATAAACTGAACATCCTGAACCTCATAACTAACATTTTTGAGAACTTCGCATATTTTGCCCATTCTGGACTCTAGGGACACTGAGCCAAATTCATTTTTGGTGTAATTCCACTGAACAAATGATACACAATAGACCAGTAGTGAAGTAAGGCAGAGCTAAAGAGTAGCAGCTGTATATAGCAATTATCAGAGGGGTAGCCATGTTAATCTGTATCCACAAAAACAACGAGGAGTCCGGTGTCACCTTAAAGGCTAACAAATTTATTTGGGCATAAGCTTTCGTGGGTAAAAAAACCCCACTTCTTCAGATGCATGGCGTGTGCCACTGGACTCCTTGTTGTTTTTGTATATAGCAATGTCACTTCCTTTGATTTACACTCTCCTCTGCTAGCAGCATAAACCAGCATCCTGTTTGCCTTCTTCACTACAGCTGCAAATTGGGTCTAAAAGCTTTGCGGATTTTTTTCACAATAATTCATAATTTACAGCATTTTCTGATCACTAAAAGGCAGCAGTACGTTTCCATTTAGTGAATAAGCCTAGGTTTTTTGTTTGTTTTTTGTTCGGGAGTTTTTTGTGCCTCGATCCAGAACTCGTATCTCTGATGAACTGCATCTTCCATCTTTTCAATCAAGCAATCAAGTGACATAAGTAATTGCTATTTAACTGTTGTTCCTTGGTATTTACTGTTGTAGTATAACGTCATCTTTAATCCTACTTTAAATTATTGGTTCTAGATTGTGTACATAAATAGGAAAGGCCAAACTCTGATCTCAGATATGAAGTCAATGGGAACATAAGTGAATATAGCTTTTAGCCCTGAATAGTATTCTCTTGGGTATCTTCTGAATAACTTTTTAGCTTCAAAATAATTCAATGATTGCTTTATTTCCTGCTCTTCAACTAACTTTCCAAACTCCAAAACTTTGCCCTCTAGACATTGACTTTCACTATAGAACTTTGTCAATTGTTTCTTAGAAGCCTAAGAATTCATTGTATAATTTATTTACGCTCTTAAGGAATTCCAAAATTAACTAGTATATCAATTTCTTTATATTACCCAGGAAGGATACCTTTCAATCTATCTGTGGTTTTGTAAATCTTCCCTCCTCATATTGCATTTACTCTTTTTTGACTTCTGTCACAGCAACAGCTGGTAATGTGGCGATGTGCACGTTTTTAGGATTTCTCGGTTTATTTTGTTAATAAGGACATTTTATTAATTTGTTACCCGATGACGTCCTTATCTGGCAGTCTGAACAGCTGAAGAATGATGTCACAAGTTAACGAAGTAAAAGCCAGTGTGCATTTTCAGATAACATTTTGACTGTGTGAGGGCAAATGTAATGACAGTCGGGAGGCAGAAGATTTAATAGCATTCTGAGCTGGAAATTAGGTGGATGAGCAGTGAGCCCAGCACCTGTATTCATGCTTCATGGTATGTGAGGAGGAGGCAGTGTTTAGAATAGCATCTGTACTGAATTGGCTATAAAGTGAAGCATGTAGGTATGTACTTGGCTGCCTCTGGGCCTTAAGCGATATTGTTGTGATTTTTCACTGTATTTGAAAGCTGTGCTTCACTCTTCTATATCCCACCTTGTATCAAACATTTAGCTCTGTGGCAACCATACATTCCCTTCTGGGTTCCTTGCTCTTGGCTATCCCACAGGTCATGGTATCAGAACGAGCTGGATCCGTCATCAAGAGAGAAAACATAAATAAATGGAAAGGCATAAAGGACGACAGAGAGTAAGGCCTGGTCTACACATTGTTTTTGTACCAGCATAACTATTTTGGAGTGTGATTTTTGTTTAACCAATGTAGTTATAGTGTAGACACCATTATATTTGTATACAGGTGCCTTATACTGATATAGCTTATGCCCCTTCCCATACAGGAGTAAACTATACCAGTTTAAGCACTTTTATACTGGTATACTTGCATTCACACTAGGGAGGCTGTGCCATTTGCATTATACTGATATAGTTAAAACAGTACAACTTTTATGTATAGATAAGGCCTAAGTTGAACTCCACTCATAGCATCATGTCATTCTCTTGCAGCCATACATGCGTCTCTGTGCTGTGTTTTCTGTTAATATCCATCTCACTCCAGTAACAGCTGGGAGAAAAACACTTTAGTCAAAGATTCAAAATCTCATTCTTTTCAGCTAATGGTTGAGCAACCCACCTCCGGGTCCTCCCAAGGAAACCTCCAGCAAAACAGGGAAAGCCAGACTTGGCATTCCTAATAGTCTTAAGGTGATACAAAGAAATGGGAAAGCAAAGCCGATATCAGGCCTTCTTTATTGGAGCGACAAGGGGCTCCGTTAAGAAGTTGCTTTGTCAGTTGCTTACTTCTATGCAACCATTTCTAGTTTCGTGGGCCTTGTGCCTTTGTTCCTTCATACAGGAAACTTCAAATAATTACCCTTTAAAAGTCTACATGTCAGACTAAATTCAACATCTAGCATGGTAAATACTTCCCACCGTGCCCCATAGGTTTCATTGTGAATCAGAATAGATGACTAATGCCGTACCTACATATTAAGAAAATTCCCTGACATGTGCATTAATCATTTCTTTTTGAGCAAAGCTCTTAGAATTTTTAACACTTCAGAACCAATGACAATTAACCTTGTTGAGATACTGTAAAAGTACTTGGTCTTTGTAGATGTATAAGAATTGTGTATTGCTAACAGCACCTATTGTTGATTTTCCCCTACTTGACGGGTGATCTTATTGTCGTGCCATCTGGTTTTTCACAGTACTGTACTAAAATATGCTGCAGTCCATATGCATTAAAAAATGTCAAGATATAGTTTATTTGGAAAGCTCTAATTAACTTCAGTTTCCAATGTGTGCTTTTATATAAGCTTCTAATGATAATGCCCAAATTCACTGGCTTGCACCGTCTGCTTTATGCCATTCAGTGATGCAAAGCAGTCATAAACCCAGCTTAGCCTTTTGGGAGACTTAAGTATATGCTTAAAGCTGAGTACAAGAATAAGCGGTTTGTTGAACAGGGATGGATTTTAAACACATGCTTAAGTGCTTTACTGAACTGGGGCCCTCAATGCCATCTATCTGGTACTTCTTACGAGAACTGCTTCTCCTCTTCAAACCCACACTCAGCCACAAAATTATTACTAGTCTTTTTAAGCAGTTTCAGTGTTCTCTTCTGTCCTATGTACCTCAATCAATGCAAGACTGACTTACTAACATTTACCAGTAAAAATATTTCCATGATTTGTACTGTGATTTAAACATTTAACCATAAATGAGGACGCAAACAGTCTCTGAAGTTAGTTCTAGAAATGCTTTAAAAATAGAGACGACCCGAAATTGTCAATATTTCAAAAAATTTCCTCATAGAAGAAGGTTAATTTTTCCCCCCAGCTGTACTTAGAAATATCTTTGCTTTTGAAAAGAGCCTACAGTAAGACAATATATTCCTATTAAATGCTTCTCAAAGTGCTTTTTGTACAGTAAATGATGGCTTCATTTTGTTTTCTTAAAAAAACCTCTTTAAATAGACCCAAGTATAAAAACACATTAAAATGTTGAGATGGGGATGCCATTTGCCTTGGAGCATTTGTGAATCTTTCTGTGTTTCTGGCAGATGCAGGCTGGGGGAGATGATCGTCCCGTGGTGGCATTTGGTTCCAGAAGTTATATTTTCAGCTTTCTATTATGTGGTTAAAGCTCATGATGGGAACCTGAGCTTTCTGTCCTCCTAGACACTGTTTCCCATAGGCTTTGTGGAATATGAGGACTTCTGTCCATTGGAAAACAAGGTAAAAAAGGGGGATTCTTCCCTGAACAGTAAATAGGCCTTTTCACTGAAAAGCTTTGGTTATTTGCCATGTGTTTCTTTACTTCTAGGGATCTCCCCTCCCCACTTTTTCCTTGAGGTTTCTTTTAAAGTGTATGCTATAGTTCTGTGATCTTCTAATCCAAAGGGTATTCTTGATAATGAAGGAAACAGGGAGGGGTGGGGATAGAGGGAAGGATGCTCTGAATCTCTATTCCTGAATTTAAAAAGCTCAGTGGCTTTAGACCAAACACATCCTTATGAAAAACGTGTCTACCTCAGCCATATTTGAAGTGGAGTCAGGGCCGGCTCCAGGAACCAGCTGAGCAAGCTGGTGCTTGGGGCGGCAGATTGTTGGAGGCGGCATTCTGCCCAATCCTAGGGCGGCACGGCCGCTTTTTTTTTTTTTCCCCTTGTTGTTGTTCCGGCTGCCCTGTAGGGGGCGGCGGAGCGGAGAACCAGAGCGCCCTGCAGGGCAGTCCTCTTC